TTGGTAGAGCATTTGCCTGGTGTGCATGAGGGTTCAATCCCTGGCACCACCACCACCACCACCACCACCACACACACACACACACACACACACACACACACACATCCTTTAACAATACTTAACATGTTATCACTAGAAATTAAATACTTTAAATAATAAATTTTCTAGGGTTTTTAGCATTCCTGCATTAAATTTGCTGTTACAAATGTCTTTTAAAATAGTTTCTAAATGTTCAGAAAATATGAGTAATAAAGCTGAGAGTTAGGTTTGACTAAAATGATTTGCTGAAAGGAGTTCATAAGACAAAGAAAAATGTATCCAAACCACCTCTGATAACAAGGGAAGAAAGTCTCTTCAGCAGAATTCAGACTTTTAGCAACAAACTGGACTATAAACATTTGTCCTGTCAACAGGACAAAGAAAATGCTCCTGTGAGAATAGTAACCAGATCTTAGGGCTCCGGTCTTTGAAATTTGAAATGTTTCCCCAGAACTTGTGCAGTCTTCTTTCTCATCCCTTTCGAAGATCACAAAAGTAAATTCTCCTATGTTCCCTCTTTCTGTTATCCTGCCAAAAATACACACTTACTGATAAAGCCCACCAGTGATTCATTACATACCATCATCCTCAGGTTTCCAGTATAAATGCCATTTTAAATGAGCCTCTTCTGTTTTATTAATGCTTAACAGACATTTAATAGCAACTATGGTGCCAAATGATTCTTACCATATCATACCATTAAAACCCAGATGTCTCTGCACTGACAGAAGCAGAGGCACCAGCCCCAGGGGTTTTTCCTCCATTCTCATTTCCTTAGCACTTGACTGAGCTGGAATTCATTTGAAAGTAGAAATTGTGGGATATAATTCTCCTTTTTTCATATCTCTCCTTTTCTCTATAGATCAATTCCATGTTTTCTATTTCTCTACTCTTATTTAATCAATTCTTTATTGAAATAAACAGAAGAGAAAGAGAGGGAAAGAAATTGAGAAAAGACAAAAAGAGAGAAAGGTCTGGTGAGTTAAAATTTAAGGTCTTTTTATTTTTAAATATGAACCTGGAGTAAGCAACCACAAACACATTAAAAAGCTACATATTTTAATTGCTAGTATTTCATATTTAACCATTGCAAGTGGTCCTTTCCTGAAGCCCCAGGCTTCCCTAGAGACCACATCCAAAGAATTTTACTAACTAGCAAATAAATGGAGTCAACACGGTTGCTATAAATCCAGTGAGCAGTTCTTCACTGTGAGTGCCTGTCATGGACTCACAGTGAAGAACTGCTCACTTTGGACTTGCTGTTGGTCTTGCCCCAAGGGAATCTCTGAAGCCCCAATCTTTTTTCAGAATTAGGAAGGAGTTGGGACTTGGGCTTGCTCTGTGGAGGCACTTTAGCTTCTGTGGACCTCTGGATGTATGATGGTGGCTCCTTTGAACTTATCCACCTTGAGTCCTGATTAGAATCACCAGTTCTCTCTCAGCTCTAGGCATCTGGATCTTGTGCATAAAATGGTCCTGAACAAGTATTGTTCCCACTGCTTCAACAAATGTCAACTCCCAAATAAACTAAGTCCCAGAGGTGACAAAGTTGTCTAGAGCACCATGTAGAGAGCAAATGGGGCAATACAAACTAGAATTCCACTCCGTCAGTTATTTTTCTAGAAATAAATACCTATTATGCTCCTTTGGTGTGAAATTCCATGAGATAATTTTGATCATCTCAGAGCAGCCTTCTGTCATTGTTTTTGTTACTTGGTAGAGGGACAATGATCAGGAGAAGTAGAGGGAGAATAAGGGTGGCAATAGCATTAATCCTCTCCCACATCTGTGCTGTAACATACTTCCCTGTGTACATATTGCAATAGGGTGCTCCACAGGCCTTTAAATTAGTTGATATTTTCCAGCCAAAGTTCCAGACCCTGAAATCCAAAGCAAAATTCAGGAAACTGAAGCATAAAACTATGCAGAAATAAACAAATGACATCTGTCCCCAACTCTTTTAGATTTTAGTGTTTTATTTCCTCTTACTTCCCTCTTTCTTCCTTGACCAGACTTCCTTCAGAACATCTTCACCACTCTATTCTCCACTTCAAAAACCCTTTAAAATATGAATACTAAATGTGCATGAGAAAATATTTGTGCTCTTTTATCTTGCTTTAGGGGTATTATCAAGGGGTAGGGAATCTTTTCAGGCTGTATTAACAAGGGGTCAGGGGGGTTATGGCCCAAGTTTTGTTTTTTTCATACCTGTGCTAGTTCACAAGTGAATTCCCTGATGCAGTTAGTTCTATGTAGTCACCCTATGTCTGCCTGTGATGCATAATACCTTGTGCTGTCTCCCTCCACATCTTGTGAACTCAAAGCACTAGAAGAAGCCTGGCCCAACAAATCAGTTGGGTTGTTTCAGAGCCTATTACTAGAAGCCTTAGTTCATGATGGACTGCTTGCCACATTAGCACATCATGTTGGATATGTTCAATACTGAATTCATCATATCTTCTACTTCCTAATCCAATCAACCCAGTTCCCCTTCTTGTATTCCTTCTAGTGTGAAAGGCATCACCTTCCAAATCTGAGGATTCCTTCTGATTTCTCACATCTGATCAGTTCCTAAATTCACAAATATTCCTCCAATCAGTACCTCCTTTCCAAGCTCATGACTAATGCAGTTCAGATTCCCCATCACTTTCTTTGACTCCAGACTGGTTCTCCTTGGCTTGTAGTCGTGGTCTTACTCCAATTCATTCCTTATCTTCCTGCATGATTGAGTTTTCCACAATTAAAGTTGATAATGTCACTTTCTTAGAAAACTTTTTTTTTTTTTTTTTTAATTCTTATTTCAAAATAAAATCCTGACTCTTAGTCCTGGTCTTGCCCCTACAAACTTTTCCATGTTAGTCTCCTGTTCCTTCCATCAAGTCCACAGTTGTCAACTCCACTCAGTACCATCAACACCCATCAGCACTGTGCCTGTGATCCAGCCTGTTTTGTCTCTGGCTTGAGATCACCTTCCTCACTTTGCTTTCTTAGTCAATATTCAGCTGGGTTTTCATACTGGCTGGGATGGGTTCATTGAACTCCTTCCACTGCTGTGTTGTGGCAACCTTCCATACCTTCAGCTTAGCACTCATAACAATGGATTTGCTTACATGTTTGCCCACTCCACCAGCACAAAATCTCCACTGATTAAACTTTTTTTTGACTAATGCCTATGTTAAGCCTAGAGCATAGCTGTATTTCTTAGGTATCCAATAAATACTTATTGAATACATTTGGTAGAAGAGCTTATTGTTTGGGAACTATGCAAAGGAATTGAAAAAGATGACTTCCAAAGTCCTTTTTAACACTCAGGTTTTACGTTGAGGATATCAGTATCATCTGTTTTTGAACATCATATCTCTTTATGACTCCCAGACCTGTAATTTCAAAGTACTCATCCATCTGACTTTTAGGTCAAAATGGTCACCTGTTATATAGCTTTATTTATTAGCTGAGTTGGCAACTCAACTTCAACACAGATGCTCCACAACTTACCATGGGTTACATCCTAGAAATTCATTGTAAATTGAAAATATTATATGCACTAATACACTTAAGGCACCATACTTTGTAACAGAGAAACACAGTACACTGTAGAATACCAATTGCTTACCCTTGTGAATGTGTAGCTAACTGGGTGCTGTGGCTTGTTATAACTAGAAGCATCAGAAAACAGTATCATAAGGTGTATTATTTGCCCAGCAAAAAAGTTAAAATTCAAAACTCCAAGTACAGTTTCTATTGAATATGTATCACTTTGACAGTATTTAAAGTGAACAAATCGAGTTGGACTATTGTAAGTTAAACCACGGTAAGTTGGGACCAATTACATGCCCTAAATTAACTTCCTTTCCCACACAACCTAGTCCATCATTCTAACTTTCTGTATTTATTAATGACACCATTCTCCTCTTTAAAACATTAGCGTGGCACCTCTCTTCTTTCTAAAATCACTGCCTAATCATATGGATTCCTCTTTCTCAAAAACTTGGTTCTTTTTCTCATTCTCTGCTCCCAGTTTCCAACAGATATCTGTGACTTTAATTATCATTTATTTCATCCTGACTTGAATGATTTATTGTTATTTGTCTTCTACTCTGGATCCTGTAAGATTTCTGCATTATGGCTGCAACTCCTGGGACTTTCAGCACAATGACTGCAGATAGATAGCAGGTGCTCAACAATTCCTTGCAGCATGGTTAGAAGAATGTCCAGATGTTAGGTATCAGTGGACTTGATGGCAAGGATCTTGTTTTGCACTTTTTATTTTTCCACTCCTTTTCCTCATATAGTGAAGGGCATAGCAACGGGAAAATACGTATTTTAAAATCAAATACTGCATCTGTTATTGTAACTCGGAGTTTCTGTAACAACTAACTGGCTGCAGTTTTAAAAATAACAAGCTCAGATATTAACAACAACAACAAAACAACCACACCCCCCAGAACCACAACTGCTTTAGATTCAGCTCCCAGCTAAAACCTTCCAGGATCCAGGTTTCCCACCCCTTCCAGTGGCCTGATGTGCTGCGAGGGCGGAGCAATGAGAAAACCCAGCCTGAGGAGCTGAAAGCGAGAGCAGCGGGATGAGGAAAGTCCCGGAAGTCATTCAACAGAGCAAGCGGTCGCCTCAGCGGGATCGCTCTGGGCAGCAGTCCCAACAATAACAGGCTCTCGGGGGCGGGGTCCGGGGGCGGGAGTTTGGGGGCGGGACCCGGATTGGTGGAGGCGGGTGGGACGCTTCCGAAGGCCGAAGGTGATTGGAAGGGGAAGATAAGGGGCGGTGGCGCTCGAGGAGTGGGTCCAGGAGCTAACGGGTCGACAGAGGAGAGAGCGTTCTGATTGGGTGGTACAGAAAGAGACGGACTGGAATTGACTGTGGATTGGTTGTGGCGGGTCAAGAAGGCGTGGACCGCTCGAGCTAGAGGGAGCTCGAGGGAGCGGGCGGCTGGCCTGCCTGCCAGCTAGCCGGAGCCGCGGGCGAGCGCGGCGAGCCGGTCCGGGTGTGAAGCGAGGTGTAAAAGGCGCGTTTCTCAGCTTCGCCGCGGCCGCTCTAGGCTGCCCGAACACCCCGCTTCCTTCCCTCCCTTCCCCTGCGCTCCAGCTTGGGATCTCGGGGCGGGGAGCGGAGGGAAGGGACCAAGGAGGAGAAGGTGAAAGCGGGGTGAGTGGCGGAGGGGTCCCAGCGCGGGGCGAGGCGTGCTCTGCCTCTCGCTCTCCCGCCGCAGCTGCAGCTTTACCCGGTGCTGCGGCCCCGGGGCGCGCGTGGCTGCTGGGCGTCCGCAGTATGCAGGCGGACTGCTGGCAGCCGCGATGGCGAGCCGGGCGGTGGTGAGAGCCGGGCACAGCCCGCGGTGTCCCCGAGTCCGGGCCGCAGCCGCCGCCCCCGCCTGGGCCCCGCTCCCCCTCTCCTGCTCCCTCCCTCCCGGTTCCAACTCCTCCTCCTCCATGCCTCTTTTCCTCCTCCTCTTACTTATCCTGCTCTTGCTGCTGGAGGACGCTGGAGCCCAGCAAGGTGAGTGGTCCCCAAGGAGTGCGCGGCTCCCGGAGCTCCTAGGGTGACTGGGTCGCGTGGGGAGCCTACTCCTGAGCGCCGGGTCTTCTGGCTATTAAACACGTCTACAGAAGCGCAGGGGAGGCACGGTGCGACTCGAACGTGGCTGGACCTAGCTGGGCACTAGGAAGGTTGAATTGGAAAGGTGGGCTCTGTCAGCCTGTCGTCCAAGTTGGTGCGGCTTTACTTTTGGCCAAGCCATTCATTTATCTGAAAAGAGCGATGTGAGACCCTGCGATGGAAGCCTCTTTGATATTGGAGCCTTCTGGGGAGATTTTTTGGGAGGAGAAAGGGAACTTTCGGTCTTGTGATCCCAGAAGTTAAGCTGTGCAGATGGACCGACAGAGTAGGATCCTAAGCAAGGAAATTAAACAGCATCATAAACCTTAAAGACAACTAGTGGTAATTATCAGCTCCTTGTGAAAGTGCCCGGGTTCTGAAGGGAATTAAGTAGGTTGTGGTGATCTCTTTCTTAGTCTTGGATTTAGAACATGTTCTTTATAATCCTTGCCTATATATTGACGCCTTGGTGAAACACTGGCCCAAACTGTCATGTTGCGCAAATGGAGCGTTCCACATTAAAAGGGTAAGCCTTTCCAGAAAGTGACAAAACTTTTTTTCCATCTACGATCCTTGAGAAACCTATGCCAGAAACGAGTAAAATTGTATATTAAATAATCATTATAATGGAAAGAGAATGCAGGGTTTTTTGTTTTTTTTTTTTTTTTAATTTTTAGTACTGTTTTAGGCAGGGTATCATCGTTTTTGTATCAGTTTGGCGTTAGTTATTGAAGACTTTTTATTGCATTTCCCTTTTTATTGCAATGAGGAAAATAAGCATTGGACTGTTACTAATTGCCTACAGGATTTTATTTTAATTGATCTTCAGGTTTAAGTCCAGCTTAATTGCTGTCGTGGCTTTGAGTGAAGTATGGGATCAGGACCAAGAGACTGTTATTGAGAAGATGCTGAAATTTTCACAGGCATGTGGAAACAATGTCTAAGAAAAAATATGTTTGGTAAACTGAACTCTAGATACAGGCCCATTTCTACATAGTGTAACTTAACATTGAGATGCTTAGCATGAAGGTTTCATGAAATCCTTTTAGCTTTAGAGCCTATGCATCATTTCCTTCCTGGTGGAATGGTAGGGGAATGGCTTATATGTGGCTAACACTAATAAGAGCTTACTTTGGGACTGGCACAGGACTAAGTCGTTTATGTAAATTAACTCTTAATACTCACCTCAGGTGAGATAGGCATTGTTATCCCATTTCCAATGTAAGAAAACCGAGGAGGAATACGAGGTGCCTTGATACAGAAAAGCATATGACAAGTAGAATGCTTTCACTGTTTTACTTTTTCTAGATCTGAAAGTGTTTGTATCATGTTTTTAAAAAATATCTTGCAGTATTGGAGTCAGTTACATATCTCCTCCCCAAGAGACAACTGTCTTGCTTTTAGAATTTCTCATGCCTGTATTAACTGAATATACAACATTCCCTTATGTTTTAAAAGCATCAATTTTTTGCATCATTTTAAAATATTTTTTTAGTTGTAGATGGACACAATACCTTTATTTTATTTATTTTTATGTAGTGCTGAGGATTGAACCCAGTGCCTCACACATGCTAAGCAAGCACTCTACCACTGAGCTACAATCCCAGCAAATGTCTTTTATAGTGTCAGCTTAAACATCAATATATATTAAAACAAATAGAAATGGTACTAGTAATTAAAAGACTTGATTTCTAGTTCTGCTAAATTGATTGAGTATATTTTGTTAAGTCATTTATTCCCTTTGCACCTCAGTTTTCAACATTGTGTATGTGAGAATTCACTCATAGCTCAATGAAAATGAAATGATAGTATTCAAAAGTTTTGCAAAGGGAAAAGCAAGTATAGTCATAAATGATTAGAATTATTAATCTTGAGTTACTAAGTTGGTGAATTAAAAGCTAGCCATCTGAAAACTATGGGATTTGAATCTCCTAAAATTTTTAAAAATATATTTTGTACACAAAAGGACCCTAGTGTGATTTCTGATGTAATTCCTTTTATGCCAATCTTAAACAGCCTAGCAGATTGCTTCAGGGTCGGCTAGTATTTCTTCACATAACCTGAAAAGAAGTCTCATTTAAAAATCAGAAGCAGCACTTTAAAAACTCCCATAGAATTTTAATAATGGGCATGTCCATATGTAATAATAAGTTACAAGGTATAGTTTTTAACTCTAAGAAATCTTAGAAGACAGGGAGGAAATAGTGTTAACAGTTGTCTTTTGGTGGTAGAATTGTGTGTAATTTCTTTTTTATGCTTTTCCAAATTCTGTGGGGTTTGTATACAGTCAGAATAAAAAAGAAATTGAAAGAGGCTGGGGTTATAGCTCAGTGGTAGAGCACTTGCCTCGCTTGCATGAGGCACTGGGTTAAATCCTCAGCACCACATAAAAATAAATAAAGATATTGTATCCATCTACGACACACACAAACACATCCTCTCTTCCAACTCTTAAAAACAAAAACACACAAAAAAACGAAATTGAGAAAGTGTTTTTTGATGAATAGATTTTTTTCTTTAGCCAACCTAGTTAGAAAAGCATTTAATGTGTCTGTTAAGGTAGGACTATGATTCAGGGTTTCTTTTCTTTTTTGTTATTTTAAAGTCTTTCCAATATTTTTTTGAAAGAGTGGAATATATTACCTTCATTCCAATTAATGCCATTCATGGCCATAGCAGAATATATTACCTTCATTCCAATTAATGCCATATGTAGATAGCTATTCCTCAGCAGATTTTTTTGCTGACAGTGATCTTTCTCTTAATTTGGCTCAGAATAGAATTTATCATTTGTTTGAAAACTGCTGGCCTCTCACAACAGAAATGTATTTTAACCATTTTATTTCACTACAACTTATAAATTAAATATACTCTGTTTGCATCTATTTACTATCTTGCTCTTTTAGATGCAGTTTATTATATATAGTTTTGAGTTCTAAATTTGATATTAAGTTCATCTTCAAAAATTTTTTAAAAAACTTTCTGTAAAATATATTTAAAAAACTTAAATTGGTTAAATTTATGCTGAATACATGTTTACTGATGTAATAAATTTAGTTAGTAGGCAGTTGATGGTCTACTATGATTGAATTTATGTCTTCAGTTTACATTATGATTGTAGGAATTTGAGTTATCTCAGGAGTTTGACTTCCTCATTTGTATCATTTGTATCTTCTGTGAGAACATGACTTGATTGTAGTAATATATCAGGGAATTAGTTTTTTAAACCCATTAAAACTGACTTGTTGAGCTGGGGTTGTGGCTCAGCAGCAGAGTGCTTGCCTCACACGCATGAGACACTGGTTTCGATTCTTAGCACCACAAAAAAATAAATAAATAAAAATAAAGATCTAAAAAAAAAATTGACTTGTTTTGCCTATTAATGTGACATGTTGGTGAGAGTATTGATTTTTTTCTTTGCTACCCTAATGAGCCTATGAAACAAATTGGGTACATTCTAAAAAGGAATTGCTTGGTTCTACAATGATACTGGAATTAAATGTTCAGAGTTTATAATCAGTCTAGTAATGTATTTACTGCCTTGTGACACAGGGAAATGTATTTTTGAACAATAGTGGTGAATTGGAAGAAGTGAAGAACTTCTCTCTGCAAAGAAACATGTATTCTAATTTTAACATTAGGCTAATTAAAATTTTTCATTCTTTTCTTGGTCTGATTAAACATAAGGGCTCTTTTATGTACTGTGTTCAGAGGCAAAAATCAAAACTTCCTTTTCTGTTATATTTCTCATTAATTTTGTACAATGGTAATCAGAATCAGCACATGTTCCATGTGTGCTAATGACAGGATTTTAGTTCTACATTCTTAGGGCTTATAAAGGAAAAGTTGACTATAAAGTTACAGGTTAATGAGTCTTAGATTTTCCAGTGTTATATGCAAAAAGAAAACATATCACTCTGGAGATGGTTATAATTCCATTCAGTATCAGAACTTCATTGTTAAAGAAAAACGAGGGGAAAAAAAAAGAAAGCCTTAAAATGGTGAAGTTGGTGTAAGTGAAAGTACTTGTACTAGAATTAACATGACAGATGAATGAATTAATTTCTGAAAGGAAATGGTCAGATCATGTAAGATTGTGGTTACATAGGGTAGATTTTAAATTTAGGACTACACTTAGCAAAATGATCCTGAGATGTGAAAGCTGAGGTGATTATGATCTCCTTGAACATTGAACACATGCAAATGGACAGTTTCCACCTTCACTTCTTAATTTGTTAGAAGGATGTGGTGTGATAACATAGACTGGAAGTATTAGGAAGATCTTTAGAAAGATGGTGATATTTCCTAAATGTGATTGTTAAAATATGAATTAAGACAAGTAGATGATTTTTTTTTTCTCTTGAGGCTCCTGGATCTGGGTTACTTTATAACAACCTATGGTCATAGCATTTTTTTCATCTATTTTAAAAACAATAATAGTTATGCAGTACTAAAACTAGAATTGTGGATGATAATTATCCACAATTCTGCTTTCTAATTTATCAACCGATTTTTCTCGTTCCTGTGCATTACATGATCACATACCTTAATAGGGTGTTATGTTCTGTAGATATTATGTTGAAATTATTTTATAGACTAACATAAATAAGCATACTTGCAAAACACAACAAGATATCAATTTTAAATGTAAAATTTCATCACAAGATGGCATTCATTATTTATAAGGTAATTACTGTATCATTCAGAATTGCGACTGCATTATTTTCTTTATTTCATTTGAGTAAATTTGTTGTTCTTGATAGAATCTTTGAGAAAGTATTTCAGTTCAGAATATTAGTTTAGTAGCATGTAATGTTAATTTTCCAGATTATTATTGGGTTAAACCCGTATATAATCCTTGAAGACCAAAAATACAGATATTCAAATAAACTCTTATTTAA